CAGGAGTTTTTGAAGGATTTTTGGTCCAAAAGATCAAGATGGTGGCCATGAGGTTATTTTTAAAAATATTTTCAAATAAACCTTTCTCTCTCCCTCTCTCCATGTATGTATGTACGTGTGTGTGTGTGTGTGTGTGTATTTATATATATATTCTCCTAAACCTAAACTCCACAGATGGGCAGTGACAAATTTGAAATATAAATAAACAAATAAATAAATAAACAAAACAAAATAAAATAAACCTAATTTGCAGATAGTCAGGAACATGGATTGTCTCCCGCCACCCCAGTATTTAAAGTTCTGCATGCATATTTCCCTTTTCTGTTTCTCCTGTTGGATGTCAAAAGCAAAACAAACTGCAAATCTATTCTGTCTGATAGAATGAGTATTTGGAAGGAGGTGGGAGGACAGGAAAAAGAAAAGTTACTCAGGGTAGAGGTCCCACCATGGGAAACTCCAAACATTTCTCTTTCCTCAACTGTCCTCATTTACATCCTTGGAAGTCCTTAGTACTCTAAACAAAAAAGTAATTACAGGACATGCATACTTGAAATGATATTGGAACAGAGCAATAAACAGGTCAATCATCAAGTGCAAACCAGCTTTTGGGGTTAAACGCAGCATTTGCTGCATCAACAGTGCTCAGGAATGAATAGACTGCATGTCCACATGACTGTATCTTAGCAGATGAACAAATATAGAATCCTTTGCATTTTAAAATGTGTTCTGAATGTGTTCTGCACCCTGAACTTTATGGAGTGCAAGGATGAATGATAGTGTTTCCAAAACAGCTGTCCAAACCCAAGCTATCAGTGAAAACCTTTGAAAAAATACATAATAATGACTAAGCTATGCTAAGTTTAACTTTTTATCCTGCTAAATGTGGATTTTCAGAGTGCCTTGAAGATAAAGCACTTAGTGCACATATAAAGGCATTCTGAATCTCAACATCAACAGGAACCAAGAACTTCCAGGTACACACAAGCAGACAACAGGTGTACTTAAGCAGACAACAAACCAGACAAACATTTCTGTACTATTTACATTTACAGCACTTCTGTATGTCTAGCTTATTTTCCCGAACATTTCTTTTGTGTAAATTAATACAAACGTCTTAAAAAGGAATACATTGCATTGCAAAACTGAGAAAAGGGTAAAGCTCAAGTAAGTCCTATTTTTAGTCTTGTGCTAAATGCAACTTAAAGAGCTTTGTCTGCCCTCTAATTTCAAGCAGCCTCTAACTGGCAACATAGTGCCAGTGAAGTGAACTGCAGTCTGCAAAAATCGATGCCATCATCTCTTAGTCTTTAAGTAATCAGACACAGCAGGTAGCAACACCTAGCCAGCCTTGCCTGATCTCAAAAAAGAAGTAGACAGGATGGAACCTGACTGGTAAATGGAGGGGAGATAACTTGGAAATCACACAGCGTTGTACCCTAGAATGGGAAGACAAAAAAGTATTCTGGAAGAAGGCAATGGCAATCCCTTCCAAACTGTTCCCAAGAAAAGGACATATTCAAGAAGTCACCAGGAGTCAATCTCAACCCACAGAAGACTTGGGTCCCAGCTAGGTGGTAGTACTAAGCTGACCACAGCTGATCCTGGAAAGTACAGGATAGGTCAGTATTAAAATAAGAGAACACCAGGACATTCCAGTGCTGAAAACTAGGAAGCATTTTTTAAAAAGCTTCCCATAAGGCAACAGTAGCTGCGTGGTCACCAAGCATTAAGTTCAATTTGCAGAAGATCTGACTTTTAAGTCTTCAAGATATCACATTATTGTTTTCAGACACTGTAGCACACTTACTAAATCATTTTTCATCTTCATAATTCTGTTACTTGTTTTTGTTTTTCACATAGGTGCTGCAGGGCTGTCTCTCGGTACCACAGCCGCCATGACAACTACTGGTGCAGTACTGGGGCTCCTGATATAAGCAAAATCTGCAAAGGAGTTCACCACATCATTTAGAAGACCAGCACTTAATACATGTTGTCTGTTAACTAAGAAGTTTATTTGCTACTAACAAATAACTGATTTATCTCAATCATAATCTGAATGAATTTCACAAGTCTTTCTGTTGGCTAAATATACAAATATAAAACTTCAGCATTTAAAGAAAGCAGCATTTGACTCAATTATTAAGAAAGAAGATTGGGTAAGAATATGGTAGTGCCACCAATCAGGAAAGCATCTTTTTTATTTCCTGGCAGGCTTTTGATCAACTTCTTATAATGTCTTAATATTAGAATTATTTCTATTTGGATCAGTAATTTTGTGTCAGGGTGAGAATTATTTTTTCACCAATTAATAGAATGAATCATTAGAATTCATTCCAATTTGGCTCTGGATCATGGGACAGAATTTGTATTCAATGCAATCAAGCCAAACATAGTTTCGCATCTTTGCCTAAATGGTAGGTTAGATCATGGAACAGGCATCCATTGTTCTGAGCGTGTATGCAATTTACGTGGTCCTAAATTAGTAGGATATATAACCCAACCAGTCCTTGCTTATTCAGCAAAGCCTGACTTAGTGCAGTGCGTGAACCAGGCTTCTTCTGATCTCCAGCTACTAGACTTGAGCTGCCTGATTCACGCATTATACTAAGTCAAGATTTGCTTTCACACAGTTAACCAAGCCACAAATAAGAGTTCATACATCATTTGGTTTACAGACAAAACTGGCTGGGATCACACATTAAATCAAAACCAGGACAATGTCATAATTTTGGGACTTTGAACACCCAAAATGTAGCTGGATTCAAACAGCTAGGCATGTGGCATATTTGATTTGGGCTTAAACCATTATGTGAAACCAGATCATTATGACCATCCATCTTTATCTTTAATTATGATTTACAATTTGTGACCCCAAGCCATCTGGTGATTTTCTCTCTCTACTTCTGGATGGTGTTGTACTGCCTCAGTCAAAACTGATGAATAATTTAGAGCCTCCTGGACTTGCAGCTCCTGTTGGAGGAGCAGGTGGCAGCCATGGCCAGGAGGGCTTTTACACAACTTCCTGTTGTGTACCAATTGTACCCTTTCCTGGATCAGGCAGCACTGCACACTGTCACTCATGCTTTGGTTAACTGTCAAGTGGACTACTGTAATAGGGTGCCCTTGAATATCTGGAGTTCATCCAGAATATAGTGTTGTGAGCCATGTTACCATGTTACACCTGTTTCACAAGCAGCACAGGCTTCAAGGTGCTGGTTGTCACCTATAAAGGCCTTCCCGGCATGGGGAGAGGGTATTTGAGGGACTGCCTCTCTCCAGTTGTCTCTATCTGTTCCATCAGATCTGTTTATATAAATCAAATAAATGAAATGAATAAAATCGGCACAAATCAGTTAAAAGAGCAATTCTCTTCCCCAACATCCAGGGGAAAATGGAAATTTTTAACTCTGTGGTCAGGGAGATTTAAGCATGTTGTGTGAATACAATTTGTTAGTTTACATATCACATTATAGCACTTAATCAGTTTACTGAATAATCTACAACCTGCTGGGTTTATTGAATATTCTAAGCCAAAACCAAACAAAGCACTGCTTGGGGATGTTGCACCAACCAGGACAGTATTAACTAATAGGATTTAAGGGCACAAGTTATTTGAGAGATAGACCAAGTATATCTGACCATATGCAGTCTAAGTATTTCTAAAACTGAATCACATCTCACGGACAAGTGAGGAGAGGCAAGCAATGTAAGCTGAGGGAATGAAACAGTACAGAGAGCTTCTAAAAGTCAGGTACCACCTTTTCCAACTAAAAACAATGGGATAACACATTACAATTCTTTATTCAGCAGGTACTTGTAATCTGTTCCTGCATCTGCACCACCCATCTGTCTTCCACTCCCTTCCCTCCCACTTCATCCCAATTTAAATCCTACATCAAGCTTAGCCCCTCCATACACCCAGTGAAGTGAGTTGCAGCTCACAAAATCTTACGCCCTTTAACAAAATATGTTAGCTGGAAAAGGCGTTACCAGACTCCTCCTGATTTGTCACCACAGACCAGCGTTTCTCAACCTTGGCATCTGTAAGATGTGCTTCAACTCCCAGAATTCCCCAGCCAGCCTGTTTTAATATGTGTGGACTTCAGCTCCCAGAATTCCCCAGCCAGCTTGGGAATTGAAGTCCACGCATCTTAAAGTGGCCAAGGTTGAGAAACATTGCCTTAGACTAACACGACTCTGTTCTTCCCGTGTCTTACGGACACTCTTATTTTTACAACACGCAGCCTAACAAACCAAATTACCAAGAGCATTTCCAAACACGCTTTTAAACTATTTTATTTCTGCAACCCCCCCCAAAGGATCACACCCACCCCACTTACGGACAACCACCCATCCCGAGTCTCGCCCGCGCGCCAAAGGCGGGAAAACAGGAGCCGAACCGACCGCGCAGGCGTGTCCGACCGCAACCGCTCGGCAAATAACGCGAGACACGAGGCGGGGGGCGGTGCCTCTGTACAACTGTGGCGGGCCAGAGCGCAGGCACCCGGCATCTCGCTCGCCTATTGTGAGCGCGAGACGCCTTCCCGCCCGCCACTGGTGCGCGCGGCCCGACTCTCGCGAGAGTTCGCCACAAGGCGGCTGCGCCGACTCGTTCCCTGCGCGTCTCTTTCTCCTCAGGCCCGCTTCATCTCTCGGCCTCGGCCTTCGCGTCTACCCGGCGGGCCGCTTCCCTCCCCCCCCCGGAAGAACCATGTCTCGCTACTTGCGGCCGCCCAACACCTCGCTGTTTTTGCGAAACGTGGCCGACGACACCAGGTGTGTTTAAGCAAGGGAGGCGGGGAAGGAAGGGCGCTGTGGGCCTGAAGCGCGACCGGGGGCTTGACTGCCTCGCTGTTCCCCGCGCCTCGGCCTTGCGCTTGGGGCAGGTTCGGGTGGGAT